ACCTACTCATCCAGTCCTATCAATAGGCAAAATGTAAGCCGAATCGATTTTTTGGCCGTGTCCGCGAATTTTCAAATTTTGTTTGATTTTTACTGACATTCACTCTTAAAGGTATAAAGCTCTGTGTAAATTGCTACATCCAAATTTAGGCTTCAACGATAACAGTCGTGGGATCATAAAAATGTTAGTCTAGTGAAAGTCGTAAAAGTCACAAATCAAACAAAATCTAAAAGGCCTATCTAATCTATTTAAACTTCTTTTTATTTAAAAATCTCGCTCTTCAAGTTTCCTTCTTTTAAAACTTTGCTCCTTCCATTCCATGATATGATGAGATAATGAGGGACCGCGGAGCGTAATTCTGATTGGGGTAGCTAACACCCGCCGAAAGCGGGTACATCGAGGGGGGCTTGGTGGATGACGGGAAAGTTACTGTAGGTGAATTATATAGATGGCCTCCTAAGCATATATCTTTGATTTTATCGCCATTTATTAAACCTAAAAAAGTGTAGCGCTAATTCCCAAATTTTCCTATTATCACTGATATAATTTTCGGAATTTACTTTCACCGCATTCCTTCCTCCTACCTTCCTTCCAATCACTATCGGCAAATAATAGTGAGAAGGATATATATATCATGAAATAAGGTTGCGAGTGTATTTTATGATTCTCTCAAATCACTCGTATAAGTCGAGTCAAAAACACCCTGATATATATTTTTTATTTAAACAAATGTATAACCTAAAACACCTAGGCATGGACTTTAGCTTAATAGGTAAACAGTTCCAAAGATTTATTCCATGAGTTTTTAAGATTTAATGCTGATTTTTCGTAAGGGTCATTCGCATTACTTGGAATTAGATATATGCAAACTTCAAGACAATCCATTCAATGCATGGTAATGTTTCTAAAAGCGCGATGTTTCATATGCTTCAAATTTTGGATCAAATTTTCAAGCGGCGTCATACCTTTTTTTCTGCCCAAGACTTTCCATAAAAATTTATACGACAGGCTGCATTAATACTAGATGATAAGATTCCGAAAATTTCAGAACAATCGTGCCTGAGGATGAGGAGAAAAAAAGCCAAAAAATTAGAATAACCTTGTTTGATTTTGGGCCATAATAGGCTAAACACTTTTAAAATCTTAAAATAAAATACACGGTTAATATTTAGGATAATCCAAGCACATTATATGAAAAATCCAGTTAAATTGACGCTCTAGTTTTGCCAAGCGAGCGAGAATAAAATTGTCCAAAATTCGCTCTGAATTAGTTTGGTTCATTCCACCTTAACAGTTAACCCCATTGATAATTCAGCTCACAAGATGCTAGGTTAGCTCAGTATAAAAAGCTGCTAAACTAGACCTAAAAGTAAATCTAGAAAAGAAAATATACTAATATGTGTTCACCCAAGTTCCAAAGACAATTTCAGTGACTGGTAGGGCGATTTTTGGGTCTTTTCCAGCTTTGCTCGATCCTTAAGTTGACTGCCTCTTAATCGTGAATATTATCGAAAACGACCTCCGGACACCCCTTATTTCTTTCCAGATTCAAAATCAGTATTAAATTTGGGTCGTGGTGCAATTGCAAACACTTTGTCATGAATTCTTTTCTATAGTAGGCGGCCACCGAAGTCATCTTTTAGGGCTATTTTTGAAAATATCCCACAAGAATACTCGATACTTTTATCCCAGAGTCCCCCCGCCCCCTCCAACCCCTTATCTGTCTGTTGTTGTTGTTGTTGTTGTTGCTGCTGCTGCTGCTGCTGTTGTTATTGTTGTTTTCTACCTTTTTCGTTCTACACAGAGTGCACACAACGAACCCCAATAAAGAGGATCCTGTTACTTCCGTTGGAAACTTTACGTTGGATAGATTTAGTTTGACAAAAACAATAAAGACAAAATGTTTAAATGCCAGTGTATTGGACAACAGCATTTTGGAGTTTGGAAAAGTATATTTCCTAAACATAACGATGTTCCGTGGTTATGAAAATCTCGTCCAATATAAAGAGAACCAAAGGACATTGGCAATAACCATCACGGATGAAGATACAGGTATGTTATTTAAATATCGATGTGGAAATAATCAATTTAATATGAGTTAATCTCCAATGAAAAGGTTGGCATTAATTCTAGAGCATTTTTTTATTGAATATTTTGTTTAATTATTATTAGTTTCCAAATTAAAAGTCCTGCTTGATATTTTAAGGAAGTTCGCGGGCAAAAGCGTTTCCAATGCTTCCCCCTTCCCCCTCAAACTTTCAAAGATCTAAAATAAGTATTTGATTTACAACTCCATGGTGGAAGGAAAGCCTTACAGGATTTACAACCTGCACTTGATAATGCTAGAATGCAAACACTAAAAGTGTGCAACATAAATATCACTAAATAGTGATATTTTATGCTAATTTTATTGTTTTCTTTGTAATATATACAGTATGAGTGGACGTGTTGTATCAGATATACAACCACGAGGCGCAGCCGAGTGATTGTATATCTGATACAACACGGACACGAATACTGTATATGACTTATCAAACGCCTAGGTTAGTTCCTTTGTTTTTCACTAAAATTTTCAAAATTAAAGTGAATTTGGCCAAGAAAATCCAACTTAAGTTTATGCAAATGAGCACAGTTTTGTATCAGATTTACAACACTCTTCACGGTCGTGATTTCTGTTGTGTTTTCTTCATGAATTATTAATGAGTTTGATAATGTTTAATTAGTGCTATTTACTATTAAATGGTGATTTATTAGTGTTTGTACTCTGCCTATAGATCAAATTTTCGTGGAGGGAGGTAAAAACCGTAGAACCCTTGGAGAAAAACCCTCGAAGCACAGGAGAGAACCAACAAACACACTCTACTCACATACTAAGCACGGCGTGACTCGAACCCGGATCACAATGGTAGCGCCCTACTGGATCTCACTACTACGCCACCCGCTCTTCCCAGAAATGTGGTCAAAATAATAGCAACATAGAAATTCGATGAGCAAATTCGACGTGCCAAAAAAAAAAAAAAAAAAATTGGGGGGTGACCAAACTAACTGACGAGTAAGAGGATATCAAAGTGGCTTTTTCTCGTCGAAAATCGCGAGCGCGGAACAATAATAAGTCACGCATTGGGGTTACTGTTATTGTTTTCTAGACTTAGCTGATCAATTCTATAGTCTCGAATAATTATATATATAAAATTTAAGAATTTTTTGGTTAGGTGTATATATATATATATATATATATATATATATATACAGCGATATGCAGAAATTCTGATCCAACCAAGTATATAGTATATAACTATATCGGGTGCATTATGGGTAATAGACTCGCGGGATTCAAAGCTATGAGTACCAAAGCGTTGGCTGGCCTACCGAGTGTTGTTTATGAACAGCGCTAAAGTCAAGAGGCGGGAACTATGTGTTCACTTTTTAATACCTCTACACTAGTAGAAAAAATGTCATATTGTAAACGGTTTAATTTGATGTAAAGTGAAACATTGGAAATTTTGCAATTGGTTGAGTTTAAAATCAGTTCTAAAATCGCTCTTTTTGGAAGTTTCGGTTGAGCTGAGCTCAATTCTGAACTCGTTCTTCGCTAGTTATTTATATGTGCCCTTCTAAAACAATCAATCACTCCGAGGACAACAAAACCAAAACAGTCGGTAATATGACTTATGACAAAAGTGGTACAAAAATTGTTCATGAGCTACTCTGGATAGGATATTTTGCTTTATTCGTAGTCTACCGTGTTATTGTTAGGCGCCGTCCACACGTATCCGGAAATTTTTGTATCCGCAAATTATTTTTTTCGGATACGAAAATGCATCCACACGCAGCGTATTCGAATCGTTTTCACCGTCCACACGTATCCGTTTTCGTAAAATTTGCGGATACGGACACAAAAATTTGCGGACACGTGTGGACGGGGCCTTATTGAGCGTCAACTCAGTCAAATCTCAGTTAATGAACAGGCTGAATATAGTTTCTAGATAAACGGAGGTTATTCTTACTTAAGAGAAGCATATTCTTCCACTTCTCCTCTGATAACTTAGTGATTCTTTGTGGTTAGTTTTTCTTTTACTTTTCTCTCTCTCTCTCTCTCTCTTTTGGCTCGAGCTATTAAAAGCTTTGCAATTTTATGCAAAACAAGTTCACTCAGGAGAGTGAAAGTTTGAATATTAATCATCATTGCACTAAAGCCGTTTGTATTAATCAAAATTGCATAAAATAAACAGAGATTATAGTTATATACTATTTCCATCAAACGTTACTGACAGTTGCTATGACACCAGTTACACTTGAGTTCAATGGTGACCATTTAGCTAGGTGTTTTACATTGCTTTAATATACCACTCAACAATGTAATAATATCGAAAATACCAGTCTATACCTTCAAAATAGTGAAATAATCACTCCTGCGTTTTGCTTAAAAAGATAATAAATTTTGTATTTGTTATTTTTATTTTCATAAGACAACGTTCTTGTAATTAGATGTTTATATATAAGTAATGCATCGAGCACACTACCAACAGGTATGGACTCCAACATCCATATATATATATATATATGTACTGTTTAAAAAACGAGCAGGAGTGTTTTATCGGGT